AGCTCTGAGCTGGGCAGCGAGGGGGTGAGACCCCCTGCCCCCGGACAAGTGCACCAGCTTGGCCGTGTAGCGACTCTAAGGAGATGCCAGCGTCCATGGTTCGTTCATGACCCAGGCGGCTCCTCCGGCTGGCCTGCAGGCCGCTTGCCTGGGAGACCGGGTTCTTTTCTCTGTCCAGAATAAACTTCAGAGCTGGTAGGGATCCAAAGAGACCCGTGATTCTTTTTTGTTGTTTTGTAATTTGGCCACTCCCTGTGGTGCTCAGAGCTGACTCCTGGCTCTGTGCTCAGGAATCACACCTGGTGGGCTCATGGGACCATATGGGATTGTTGAAACCCCTGATTATTAATTATTATTATTGTTTTTGGGGTCACACCTGGCCATGCACAGGGATTACTCCTGGCTCTGCACTCAGGAATTACTCCTGGCGGTGCTCGGGGGACCATATGGATGCCGGGGATTGAACCCAGTTCAGTGGTTGCAAGGGAAATGCCCTACCCAAGTTCTATCGCTCTGGCCCTTGACCCGGCCTCTGACCCGTGATTCTTATCAGCAAGCCCTCTGCCTTGAGAGTGGCCATATCCCTTAGCCTAAGGAGCTCAGCCCTCTCTCCTCCCCACCTCACCTGGGCAAGATCCTGCCTGTTCCCTCCCACCCCAAAGCCCGTCACCCTGATGACTACTTGGATGGTCTCAGAGGGAGAGTGTGGACCAACATGGACACAGCCCAGACCTGTGGGGAGAGAGGGGGTGGCAGAGAGAGAAAACTGGTCGGTATGTGAACCCCACCGAGTTCCTGAATCCCCCAGTTACGCAGGAAGCAGCACCCCACTTGATGTCAGTGAGCGGGGGAGAGGCGAAGGGGCAGATGTTGGTTGAGGTCTTCCCTTCCTGGGGTCAGGCTGTGCTCTTCCTGTCTGACCTAACTCACCCCTCCGCCCTCCACTCATGCCATCAGGTAGGTCCCGGCCTTCAGAACTTGAAGGACAGACCCTAACAGAGAACTGACAACTGCACTATGTGGCCTTGTGGCTCAGACAGAGGAAGCCATGAGGAGCCTAAAAGGAGGAAGCAATTCAGGGCGGACTTCCTGGAGTAAGAGGACTTGGAGGGGGGGCGGTGGCGGGTCCTGGGTTTGCCACCAAGTGTAGCAATAGGAGGAAGAGGGGCTAAGGGTGCAGGGTACTGCTCACAGGCCAAAAGACTGGACAATCTTGAGAGAGTCTAACTGGACAAGAGCTAGAACAGAAAGTCCTTGGGGCAATGAGGGACTTGAGGGGGGAGTGGCTGAAGGTATTCAAGGAACGGGACTGAGTGTGACAGGTCTGGTGAGTCGCCTTAGACAGCTTGGCTTTTGTCCTTGGGGCAGGGACACCTCATGGTTGTTCAAAAAGAGTCAGAACAGACGGCTGGAGTCTGAGGGGCAAGAGGTGAGACTTATTCAGAGTTGACCCGGGTTCAATCCCTCGCACAAAATTTGATCTCCCAAGCACCGCCAGAGTGACACCTGAGCACTGTCAGGGGTGACCCAAACCCCTCCCTACTGAAAAATAAGAGCAGAGCAGTGGAAAGATTTAGAGTCCTGGGGTCAGACAACCTGGATTTGAATTCTGACCCCCCACAGCTACTGGCTCTGTAATTCTGGTGGGGGGGGAATTGGATTTCTGTGCTCAGAGTGAGCTCCTGGCTCTGTGCTCAAGGATCACTCCTGGCAGGGTTCAGGAGACTGTATGATGGGGTGCGGGGGATTGAATCTGGGTTCACTGTGTGCAAGGCAAGCACACTGCCTGTTATACTATCACTCTGGCCCCATGGATTGTGTAACCTTGTGTGGATTTGTAGCTACTGTGCTCTATAGTGAGGGGATGTGCCTGCCTCTACTTCCCTACCCTTGGTACAATTCTCCCTTTCCAGAATATTCTCTAGACAGGGCAGCATCTTCTTTCATCCTGCCCACAGCCCTGGGAGGTGATTGCTGTCATCCTCAGGCTGCAGATGGGTACCTGAAGCCCAAGAAAGTTAAGAAACGGTTTGTTCAGCTGGAGAGATAGTACAGCAGGTAGGGCTCTTGCGCATGGCCAACCCAGGTTCAACCCTGCTATCCTGTACTGTCATCCAAGCACTGCTAGGAGTAATCCCTGAGCATCAATGAGTGTGACAACCTCTCCCCCTCAACACACACACACACACACACACACACACAATTATAGGACTAACAGGAGTTACTCTGGGGGAATGTGACCAGAATGAACTAAAATAATGTCTTTGCATTAAGCACAGAGATGGACAGCGTGCAGTGGTAAGGCGCTTGCCTTGCACAGGGCTAAACTGGTTCTACCCCCAGCACCACGAATGGTTTCCCAAGGTAGCCCAGGAGTGATCCCTGAGCACTGAGTGAGGAGTCAGGCCTGAACACTGCCAGCTGTGGCCCCAAAAAAACAAAATCAAAACAATAAAGGACAATTTGCAGCACAATTCGGTGACTGTAATTTTAAGAACATAACTATTATCGAATACAGAGCAGCTCATGTACAAGCTGGGGAGATGGTTTCATGGACTGAGGAGCGTGTATGGCACGTGAGAGGGCCTGCATTCCATCCCAGTGCCGCCTGTTCTGCACCAAGCCAGGAATGGTCCCCAAGCAACCATAGATGTATCCCCCAAAAAATAAATAAATAGAGGGCCATAGCAATAGTGCAGCAGATAAGTGCTTGCCTTGCATGTGGCTACCCGGGTTTGACCCTGAGCACTGCCAGGACTGATCCCTGAGTACAGAGCCAGGAGTAAGCCCTGAGCACTCCCAGGTGGCACCCTCCCTCAAAAAAAAAAAAAGACAATCATGTGGGTTACAGTGGAGATGGAGAGCCCATTTGGAAGCTGCTGGAGGATCTAGATGAGAGTTGGTGGTGACTTATTCCCGAATTCTAGCTCTGGGGGTGGAGGTGGGGGGCAGGTTCCAGACTTGGCAGGCGTGGGTGGCTGAGCGGATGCCGGGAGGAAGAGGCTGGCGCATCCCTGACTCCCGCTTTTGGTCTTGAACATCTGGGTAAGGAGAGGGTGTGGCTGTCATGGGGAGGTGAAGACTGGGCACAGGCACATTGGAGAAAGAAAGTGGTGATTTCAGTGAGCTGACAGCAGACTCTTAACACTCGGAAGCGCCTTCCTTCATCTGCCCCAGCTTCTCGGGAGGCGTCTAGCAGGCCAGAGGCTCTAAGGGGCCTGGAACACACAAGAGCTACTTGGGTGGAAGAGAAATGGATGCTGGAAACATATCTAGGTGGCGTTGAGCCTTAAGAGATGTGGGCCTTCCTGGGGCCGGAGCGACAGTTCAGCAGGTAGGGTGTTTGCCTTGCACGTGACCAACTGGTGTTCGATTCCTGGCATCCATATGGTCTCCCAAGCACCGCCAGGAGTAATTCCTGAGTGCAGAGCCAGGAGTAACTCCTGAGCATTGATGGGTGTACCCAAAAAGAAAAAAAAAAAACATGTGGGCCTTTCATTCGGGAGGGGCTAAGGAACTTGTCTTGCATGCTGGTGACCCTGGCGACCTCATTCTCTGGTCCCATGTGGTCCTCCGAGCACCACCAGGAGTCACTCCTGAGCACAGAGCCAGGAGTAAGCCCAAGAAAGCTACCCCCCCCACCCCCCATTACAACAACAGAGTGGGGAAGTGTTCAACTTCTGCGGGGGACTGAAAGGTTCTCGTGCTCAGCTTGAAACCTTACTGACAACAGTACTGTATGCCACAGTGTCAAAAGTCACTGTTCTCCCGTTGTTTATCGATTTGCTTGAGCGGGCCCAGTAACGTCTCCATCGTGAGACTTTGTTGTTACTGTGTTTGGCATATCAAATACCTCACAGGTAGCTTGCCAGGCTTTGCCGTGCAGGCAAGTAATTTTTAAAAAGTACCTCTTATAGGGGCTGGAGCAATAGTACAGCGAGTAGGGTGTTTGCCTTGTACGTGGCCCACCCTGCTTCCATTCCCGGGATCCCTATATGCTTCTGGACTACTGCCAGCAGTAATTCCTGAGTGTAGAACCAGGAGTAAGCCCTGAGCATCACCCCCCTCCCCCCAAACAAACAAACAAAAACAGAAAAAGTACCTCTTGGATTTTGGTGAAAGGATTAGTGTTGAAACATTGTATGCCTAAAACCCAATCATGAACAACTTTGTAATTCACTTGGACTTAATTACAAAATCTACCTGGCTTAAGGGCAAAGAGGATGAGATCCTTTCAGGGTTGGGGGAAAGACAGAACCTCTCTGGGGAAATTAGAATGTGTTGCCAGAGACAGGGAGGGCAGGGGGCTGGGAAGGAAGGGTGAGGAGGCCCCCGAGTGAGCGCTTAACTGAGAGCAAGCGCCCAGAAGGAGTGGCGGGCACTGCTCCATTTGCGGGCACTGCTCCATTAGCGACTGAAAGCTAATTGGGGACTTTGTCCAGGCCAGTATGGGAGGGTGGACCAGGATGGAAGAGGAGTGGAGGAAGGAGAGATAGACATCTCTTAGGAGAGCTGGCTCGGGGCTGGAACCATCCCAAGAGGCTGGACTGATGCTCTGCATGCAGGAGTTCTGGGTTCAATTCCGGTAACACATGGCCACTAGGAGTGACCACTAGGAGTGACCTCTCCACTCCGCCCCAAGCACTGAGCTAGGAGTAAACCCTTCCACCCACCCCACGCCCATCCGGCTCAGGGGCTGGGAATGCAGCTCAGTGTTAGAGCATCTGCATTACATGTGTGAGGTTCTAGGTTCGGTTCCTTGCATAAGACCCCCAAACACTGGCTCAGTGTCAAATGGGGTATGGGTTGAGGAGGGTGCTAATCGGAAGGCAACACACGACTCATGGGAGGGTAAATGTTAAATTCTATTATATTGAAACAGACAGACACAGTGCATATCCTAGTGAACAGCTAGATACACATTCCCAAGGGAACACCTGATAGGGATGTAGCTCGGAACCCAGATTAGGAAATAAGACATTCCCCAGCCCTCTGGACTCTCCTGCCATGGCCCCCTCAGCCACTATTTCCCAAGGGCAGCTACTAGCCAGACCTCTGTCACCAGAGAATCGTTTCACTCGCTTTTCTGAACTTCCTCTCAGAGCAATCGGGCATTGCGGTTTTGCCCCTTTCCTTCAGCCGAGAGCGCAGCCTCATCCATGTCGTTCGCTTGCAGTTAGTGCAGTGTCCTTTCTTTTCGCGGTCTAACATTCCATTATCCACTGATGGGAATTTGGGTAGATTCCAGGCTTGTTTTCCCGTTTCACGTGGGAGGGCCGTGAGCTTCTCTGAGGCTCGTGGAGCAAGTCAGATATGCTCATCTCTGATAAGGAGAAAGATACGAAGGCTGCAGGAGGGCTCCCTGCAGGGGAAACGAGAGCCGAGCTGAGGTTGAGAACCGCTCCGTGGTGCCATCTCTGCAGCTGTGCCAGGACCTCTGGCAGCGTCCTCCAGCCTGTGTGCAGGTGCAGGGAAGGCAGGGAGTTGGGTTGCAGGGCTGGATTCTGCCAAGTGGGAGGGGAGCAGAGTGCAGGGGATATTCGCAGCAGGGGGGCTGGGGAAGAAGGGTGGAAGGGTGGCGGGGAAGGTAGGAACAGAAGGTAGGAGGGAGCTGGCAGGGAGAAAGGAAGCAGAGGCAGATTGTGAGCTATGTGCGGTGGTGTCCATGAAAACCGGGGCTGTGTCTCCAGTGACTGGCACGTGTTGTCGTCGGGCTGTCGCTCCGAGGATAGATGAGCTGAGGGGCTGGAAAACTAGTTCGGGGGTAAGATACTTGCCTGTACCTGCATCCCGTCCTGTTTCGATTCCTGGCACCACCTGGTTCCTCAAGCACTGCCGGAAATGACGCTTGAGCACAGAGCCAGGAGTAACCTTCCCTGAGCTCCACCAGGTGTTTCCCCCCAAATTTAACATAAGTAAATAAGCAAAAAAAAAAAAAAAAGCTGGGGCCTGATGCGGTCTCAGGTGGGAGGAGGGGAAGTGGGAGGAATAGAGAGAACCTGCAGGCTGTGGTCAGTGTGGCTGTGATTTGGGGCCAGGCCAGAGCCAGGTGGTAAGGTTGGGGTGTGCTGAGGAGGGGTTGAGGGGCCGGCCATCCACCTGAATGCACGGCACCCATCTTCGACGAGGGAGAAGAGGGCAGAATTTCTCAAACTTGGTCTCTGAAATTGTTGCTGGGAGTGGGGTGTTGTTGCATATACAGAGCCCTGGGCCCTCTCCAAGTCTCTTGGGGGAGAGAATAAGCTCAGTGCAGCAGAACTGACTTGAAGAAGAGTTTTTGGGGTGCAGGAGAACTAGTCTCTGGGAGAGATAGAATCTCTGGGTCTGGGGGCCGCTAGTCCAGCTGGTGATGGAGGGGGGTATCTAAGGCAGAGGGGTGGGGACATGTCATCTGGGGCCTCGAGAGATGGTGGCTCAGTTTCAGGGAGAACCTGGCCCCACAGTGAGGGGGGAGTGCAGACTACGCACCCCTGCTGTGGTGGAAGGGTGTGGGGGTGCCTGGGCCTGTCGTTCCTGCTGCACTCAGATCCTTTTCTGCTTCCTTCCTGAGACTGCAACATAATCTAGGACTGATCTCGGCACCTCACTTTTAAAAAAATTGTTTCTTTTGGGCTACATCCAGCCATGCTCAGGGGTAAACTCCAGGCTCTGCACTCAGGAATCACTCCTGGCGGTGCTTGGGGGACCATATGGGGTGCTGGGGACCAAACCCGGTCAGCGGCATACAAGGCAAGCACCCTACCACTGTACTGTCCCTCCAGCCCCTGCCCCCCCCCCACTTTTCATTCCTCTCTCAGCCCCCAGCCCCCTCCCACAGGCACCATCTCTCCACTCAGCACTCTCGACTCCCATCACACACAGAGCCCCAACTTTCAGCATGCTCAGCCCTTTCTCAGCATTGGGGCCCGAGGGACAAGCCCTAGAGCGGGCAGAGCGCTTGCCTTGCAGGTAGGTGGCCCGTCCCAGTTCGATCCCTGGCATCCCATAAAGTCCCCAGAGCTTCGCCAGGAGTAATTTCTGAGTGCTCCCTGAGCATCTCTGGCTGCGGTCCCCAAACAAACCAAAACAATTTTTAAAAGCCTTTTTTTACCCTCCCCCCCATTCTAGCCGTCCCCAATCCAGCCCCCCACCCCCCCATTCCATGTCTTCATTCTATTTGGAATTCCCTCCACATTTGCCGCGATGCTCAACTCCTTAGCGTAGACGAGAGGACCCCCGCCAGTACCCACCCCCGTCCTCCCCGGGTCACCCCTCACTGAGGCGGGGCGGGCAGTGCCTGGGCGCCCCCCGGTCGGGTTGGTCCCGCCCCGTCCGTCCCGGCGGGCTGAGTCAGGCGGCAGGAACTGGGCGGGGGGCGGCGCCGGGAGGAGCCGAGTCGGAGCCAGAGTCCCGGCGAGCGAGCGAGCGCGGAGCCCGGCCGCGCCGGCACCGAGCGGCCCCGGGCCAGGGGGTCAAGTGCGGGGGTGGTGGGGTGGGGTGCAGCGCCGGCCCGACCATGAACGCCAAAAAGAAAGGTAGGACCTACCTGCCTGCGCGGTGCAGCTCCGGGACCGGCCCCCCGGGGGTGCAGGGCGGCTTCAGGGGCCCGGGAGTGCGTGCTGCGTTGCAGCAGAGTTTGACGGGGTGGGGGGTCGGCTGAGGATAGCCCAGCTAAGGGCGCGCGCCGCGGCGTCGGCCCGTGACTCAGTTTCCCCGTTGGAGCCGCGGCATTGTTGGAGGGGGCGGGGCATTTCTCGGCACTGCCCACCCCCCTCCTTCTCTGGGAATCCCCCGCTCGGGGTGCCGCCAGGGCCCCGGCGTCCAGGCGCCCGGGAGCCGGTGGGGGCTGGGGGGGGGGGGTGGGGAACAGCGTGCGCGGGGCGGGCGGGTCGTGAGAGTCAAAGCCGCCCCGGCCCGGCCTGTCGGGCCGCTCGGCAGGGCTGGGAGCGCGCGCCCCGCCCCGCCCCGTGACCTCCCGCGTCCTCCCGGGGTGGGGGCGCCGGTGCTTCTGGTCCTCTTGGGCGGGGTGGGGGGGGAAGGTCAGGGGCAGGGCTGGGGAACCCGCCCCGCCCCCCGGTAAACAGGCGCTTCCGCACATTCTTCCCGCGCGCCGCCCCTTTCCTGCCCCTTCCCAGCCCCGGGAGGGTCCCCGCGCGACCCCCCTTCCTGGCCCGCGGCAGGCGGAGCCTGCACCTCGGCAGGAAGTGGGGGCCAGGCCGAGGCCACGCCGAGTCTGAGGCCGAGTCGCCCGCGGCCGCCCTGTCATTAACGCGCGGGAGCGCGGCAGGGTGGTGGGGCGCTCGGGGTCAGACCCGCGTGCATCGGAGGAGAGACAGAGCCCCGGCGGCGGGGAGGGGGCTTCCCGGCCCCGGCTTTGCTGGACACCCCCCCTCCACCCCCTTAGGGAGCCCCGCGCGGACTCATTCCATGATGTCCCTGTCGGTGCGGCCGCAGCGCCGCCTGCTCAGCGCCCGGGTCAGTAGGAGCCAGTCGTTCGCGGGCGTGCTCAGCAGCCAGGAGCGGGCACCCAGGTACGCAGCGGAGCGGCTCGAGACCCGGGGTGTCGCGAGGGGGCTTGGGAGACCCCCCACGGTGTCTCTCTCTCTGAGCGCTGCCTCTTCTTCAGGAGCTTCCCGGCCTTCAGCCCTCCGGGACCCCCGCGGAAGACCCCGGCTCTCGTCCGCATGTCCAGGATGTTTTCCGTGGCGCACCCCACCCCGAAGCTCCCACAGCCGGAGCGCTTGGACCAGGTGTACGCCGCGCTCAAGCAGGGTCTCACGTAAGCCCCCCCCCCCACCTCTTGTCCCAGGATCTCCAGGATGTCCAGGATCTCTTGTCGCCAGGGCCCCCACCTCCGTTCCCCGCCCCCCCCCCCCCACCCCGAAGCTGGAGGCTGCAGAGCAAGCTAATTCTTGTCACCCCTCTCCCCAGGGCCTATTTGGAAGTGCACCAGCAAGAGCAGGAGAAGCTCCAGGGGCAGATAAAGGAGTCCAAGAGGAATTCCCGCCTGGTGAGTGAGGTTGGCAGGGCTGCCCTGCATCGGTGCCCATTGCCCTTGTGGTGTGGGGGTTTGGCAGGAACAATCCTGGGCGACTTCCGGGCCGTTTTCCCCGGCGATTGAGTCCAGACTTAGTTGACTGAGGCCAGGGGGAGGTTTCTGTCCCCAGTTTGCCTAGGCTGCACACACCTTCTGCCTGGAATGCAGTGGCCACTCATAGCTGCTTCCAGAAGGGTGGATCAGAGCCCTCGGACACAGCCAACTGGACATTATGTTGTCATGTCCTGAGGGAGAGCTCGGGTTCTTCCTGGGCTTGCCAGAGGAGGAAACACCTCTGCTGGGTGCTGACAGATAAATGGGAGGTCCTGAGCTGAGGGAACCAGGCAAAGGGAGGCACAGAAGTTCTTTTCCGGGAGGTTGCAGCAAAGGAAGTAGGCCAGCAAAGGGACCCCAGGAAAGGCACAGGGGTCTTAGAGATCAGATCTGTGTCACCCACCAAAGTCAGGTGCCTGGGAAGGGGGGGTTAGCCTTGTGTGACTGGAGGGGCGTGTGTGGAGGAAGGGTAGAGGGGCGAGAGGGATGCAGGAGGCAGTACCCCGGCTGTCACACTCCCCTTCCCCCCAAGTACCTTCCTCTCCTCTCCCCCTCTCCCTCTGCAGGGCTTCCTGTATGATTTGGACAAGGTGAGTGGGGGGCTGGAGCGGGTGGGGTCTGGCCGCCTCCTGGGAAGGGTAAAGGCCCTGGGCCTTAGACCCCTCCTGATACCCATCTCCCCCAGCAAGTCAAGTCCATTGAACGCTTCCTGCGGCGGCTGGAGTTCCATGCCAGCAAGGTACTGTGGGGCATGGATGTGTGCATGCAGAGGGGCATGTTGCTAGGGACATGGAGTGGGGGGATGCTAGGCTCAGGCAACTCCTGTAGTGAGTCCCGGTGTACCCACTGCTACCCCCACTCACACGCCCAGATCGACGAGCTGTACGAGGCCTACTGTGTCCAGAGGCGTCTCCGGGATGGTGCCTACAACATGGTCCGTGCCTACAGCACCGGGTCACCAGGGAGCCGAGAGGCCCGAGACAGCCTGGCCGAGGCCACACGGGGTCATCGCGAATACACTGAGGTGAGTGATGGAGGCCCAGGAGGCAGAGATACAGGGTACGGCCAGTGACAGGATTGGGGGGGGGGAAGCGCTCGTCCTTGACCCCTACTTGTCCCTGCTTGTCCCTCTCAGAGTATGTGTTTGCTGGAGAGTGAGCTGGAGGCACAGCTGGGAGAGTTCCATCTCCGGATGAAAGGTACTGGGGGGTGGGGAGGTGGGACACCGTTGTGGGCCTGGGACCCCTTATTAC